GTATGAATCTCCACTTTGGATAGGCAAGCCTTCTGGTGGCATTAGGGATACATATAAGAATCTGTACGTGCCCTCAGGAATTTTCTAGAGGGGGAATAATTGGGGCATAGTCTTAACTGGGCTCCACTTAAAAATTAACTTAGTTTGATTGCAGCAGGCAAAAAACAGCTCAGTTAGGAGGAGAAAAAGATTAAACACCTGCAGAAATTCTCTATGCTGTCTGTATTGCATATTCAGTTTGGGCTCTCTTTTTGCCTAATGCAAAACTGCCCCCAGATAAAGTGTTTGACTCATTCAATTAATCGTCCTGGATGTTCCAGTTACTCAATCTGAGAATTTTGGCAAACATGAAAATATTTTTTCTTCTTGATTGACATATCTGATACCACTTCTTGATTTTATAAATTTTAGTTTTGTGTTTTAATGATAATTTAATTATTGATTTGTATCTTGTTGACATTTAATTTCTGTAAGCCACCTAGAATTCAACTGATTGGGTTAGGTCAGACCTGCACAACATATAGTCCACATGCTGCGTGTAGCTCGCTAAGCAGCCTTGGGCAGCCTGCCAGTGTTTTTTAAAAAGTGATAAATTCACCACCACTGCCCTATTTTATATTTTATTTTCCCCTCTAGGAGGGGAGTTGTGGAGGCTTGGGTTAGATACATTTTACAAATTAAATAAATAAAAGATGATTATCGGTAGAGTACTAAGCAAGGGTCAGTGCATATCTGTGCACAGTGCAGAAATCAGTGAGGCTGATCGGTGTCTTTGAAAAAAAATCACTGCCACATTACATCAAGTAGCATTCACAGACTTTTTCAATCTATCTTAGGAAGGTACTATTAAGGTAAACATGGAAGACCAAAGGGGCCAATAAAACAGTCCTACTTAACCACTTTCTTGGTTGGGATCCAAGCCATGAGCTATGAGCCAGTCATTAGGAATATGGACTGTTTTGTCAATAAAAATAAAAACGGGATATCAAGATTAGATAGCACCATTCTGTGATTGTTGTAATAAGTGCAGCTGAAATATGGTCATTTCCAGGGGCTTGCCAGTTTTCAGCTGAATTATCCAATCTCTGAAACCAAAACGCAGGCACTGATGTAGAGGGCCAATATGAAAGTTAGGAGATTTCCAGACATATTGTAAAGCATTCAAAAATGACACCCACATAGGATGGACTTGCACTTGGACAGTCTGCTACAACAGGGTTGAGTCCATTGATTTAATAGGTTATTTTAATTGTCGCCAAGTGGCCTTTAAGATTTTGTTCTTTCTTCAAATGGGCTTTATGATTTTTTTCTTTTTCCTTTCCAATAAATCTTGTATAGAGGTTATCAGTGGGATGAACTTACAGGATTCACCAGTTGCGATAAAATCATTTTTGGCCTCTCTGTGCTTTTGACTGAATCAGCTTTTAGAGCAGTCTCTTTGGTAGGGCAACCCTCCCTCCCTCCCTCCCTCCCTTTCTCTTTCTCTCCATACTTAGAAATAATGTCCTCCAGGTACTAGTTCTGTGGATGTGCTCATTCCATTTGATCCCAGCAAATCCAGTCTTGATGAGCATGACTGTGTTTGTTTCCTTGCCTGACTTTATCCTCTCTTTATGAAACCGACTCCAAGTGACTCTGTTACAGGTTAAGTAGATATAGTTCTGTGTTCCTGCTTTGTATTCAGATTTCAGTTTACTTAATGCCTATTGTCTTTGCTAGGCATTTGTTTCCCCTTTTCTTAACGCTGTTATTCCTTGTGGAGTCCTTGAGGTTCTCTGAGCTTGGTTCTTTCCTTGCAAACGTTTCATTACCTGGCTAGGTAACATCTAAATAAAGTAACATCAGTTCAACCCTGAGCTACACATATTCACCTCTATTGATTATTCCTTATTCTCTACCTATTGTTGTTCTGACTTTTTGTTCTTTGTGTCTGGCTTATGTCCTTGATATTGTATTTTATTTTATTTTATTGTGCTTTATTGTGCTTTATTGTATTTTATGCTATGTCCCATTGTTATGATCTATGGTTACAATAAACCTATTTACTTACATACTAGTTTGTCAGACTTCATGTGAGACACAGTTGTAAACCTAGCTCTCCAGACTGTTATCCTCTGATCTGGAATAGACTTACTCGGCAGAAGGCTCTGGGACTTCTAGCTTTGACTCTTCATTGCAAATGCAACAGAAGATCTGCCTACTGAAGTATACAACAATCTATGGTCCAGTGTTTAAATTCCAAGCTTTCTCCTCGCACCTTTCTGAGTTGACAGATACTTGGCCATTCTCTTCAAGGTTGTAGGAGCCACATGGGATTTGTTGACATAATAATCCTAGCTAGTCCGGGAATTGCCAGTCCCTGCCATGCCAGCTTCATTCTTAACCCCTAATACTTGCAAGCAGTATCCATTTGTTTTAACCCTTCCAGTGAACCAAGTCTCCTAAAAGAACAAGGTATCAAATTTACTTGAATAGTCAGTAAAAAATCTTTCAAAGTTTTCCTCATCAGCAATATTCCGTGAAATCAGGGAGATTGCACAGTACAGGCTAACTTCTTAAAAAGCAGAGGGTAGCATCACAGTTATTTTTGTTGTCTTGATTTGTCCAGGCAATCTGATGAATTTTGTCTAAGGAGTCTTTTACCAGCGGTGGATAAGAATTATAATGAACAGAGTATCCATCTGCCAGTTTCAGCTAGCACCACAGAATTGTCTGTGGGCTCATTAGCGGTGTCTGGTGGTATTTTTCCTAAAGGATTTTCTGCTGCTCGAGGTTGATAATCAAATAAGTTTCTAAAGGCACCACTGATTTATATCTATCCATTTTTTCCCTTTAAATGCAACTGAGCACTGGGGGGTCATATTGAGGATGTGTCAGCAATTAAGTTGGAGAAGTCAACTTCTTGAGTGGAAGTTTCTGCTTATGGATCCCAAGTTGTTTTCAGACATAAATTTGGCAGAAGAGGTGTAGCTTCATCTTTGCCAGATGGTAAAATTTAATGTAATTTAATACAGTATTCCAATTTCAAGGTTGCCTAACTCTACAATGACTCTGGGTAGCTTGCAATGAAGTAAAATTTAAAAAATAACAGATATTAAAAAAAAGAGAGAACTGACTGGAAGATCAGCCCATAGCAGGAAAAACCAAAAAATGCCTAAACCAAAAAACCAAAAGGGCTCAAAACGTCAGTCCTTTATACATGGGAGAAGATCTTCAGTTGTTTGATTGCCAGAATCAGTGGAGGAAGAGAGAAAGCAACTGGAGTTGGGCAGCCAATAAATTTAAAGTGGTGGTGATGATGATGATGATGATGATGACGACAATACAAA